AAAAGTTGGTTTCGTCGTTAGTTTGGTTTTAGTCGGTCGAGCGCCTTCCAAATCGCCATGTTTTCCCCTGCACTCTCGTCACCACTGCACAAATCCGTCCAACATTTCCTCTAATTTGAACTGCAATGCGTGTAGCCCTCGCTGGACAATTTGCAATTTGCGGGCAGCGAGCTGGGAGAGTCGTTGGGTGGCAGTGGCGGACACCCAGGGCTGGCTCCCCAACTAGGCCTCGGCAAGGTAAGGTAAAAGTTAAAAACAACGAGCCTACATTTACCCTACCTTTTACCTCGCCACAATACAATCACTCTACCCTACCTGTTACCCTTTAGCAGGTAAGGTAAAAATCAACGAGCCTACCTTTACCCTACCTTTTACCTTACCACAATACAATCAATGACCCGACCTTTACCCTACCTTTTACCCTTACCCCATACAAACTACCCGATTACAGGGTAATTACTGGGGTACTACTACACATTAACAAGGTTTATACCGGTAAACGGCAGGTAGAGCGCTTTATACATACAGAATACTCTCGATTATTCCAATTTTACACGCTTTCTCTTAACTCACTCTGTTGTTGTATCCTCAAATCTTGTAACTCAATTTTAACCCACTTCCCAATGTGGTATCGACTGCAAACTTGGTATACTTATGTCATACTGATGACGATACTATAAACTATCATAAAAAAAGATATATTTTTAAACATTTTGAAAAAAATGTTACGTTTCGGCTTGGGTCTAATTGTCCACGCTCAACTGACGTTGGCTGTAATTGGCCACGGTCCCGTACGTTATGGCAAGCTTCGGGGCCACTTCCTGGAGTCGTGGAGTTCTGCCATTACTCGTACATTTAATAAAAGCGTGTTTTTAATAAAGTTTTAGTTTTAATATTACTTATTAAATGGAGGCCACGGACTGCGCCACGGATCGTTTAGCGGTAAACAAGGCACCGTATTTACCCTACCGGGCGTTTCTTCCGAGCTACCTTTACCCTACCCTTTACCTTACCCCTTGGCATGTCGACACATTTAACCTTTACCTTTACCCTTTTACCCGGTAAAAAGGGTAAATTACCTTACCTTGCCGAGGCCTACCCCAACCCACCACCCAACACTCACTCGTGCACATGTTCGTGGCCCTGACGGGAATCGCTAAGCCCTCGGGGATGTTGATAAGAGCCCAGCGGAATCCGCCAGCGACGTACAAAAACCGGCTGAGCTGCTCCCCATTCCACCCCCACCCTCGCACCCAGCTTTTGAAAGCGCGGCTCCTGACTCGAATAACGGGGGGGTCTGCGACGGTCAAAATAGCAAACTTTAAGAGGGTGGCAAAAAAAAAATTACGACTTCAAAAGCTACAACGCGACTCCCGCGTTCGCTGCGTGGTGTCATAGAGCGGACGGTGCACGCCGGATCGTCGGTCGGCGAGTGGCAGAGGTCGCAACCGGGTACCCGATACCCGTACCCTACCCGATACCCGGCTACCCTTACCCGGCCGGGTACGGGTACCCGTTTGCGACCCTGGTGCGGCCGGGTACGGGTAAGGAATCAAAACCCCTTTGCGACCTCTGGCGAGTGGGAGGGAAGCGCCAGTGAACCTACGAGTTACGGTGGCGGAATGTCGCTGCGGGGATGTCACCTTCCTCGCCTGGCGTGCAGGAGGTCGGGGGTTCGATCCCGACCCTGACACCCGCCGCTGCATATTTGGAGTTTGCGTGGTTTCCCAGTGGTTGCGCGGATTTTTTTTCTCTCCGGGTCCTCCGGTTTTTCCCTCCATATTTAAATTGTTTATATTAAGTCGCATCTGAAAAACGCAGCTAATAGCTCAGTCGGCTTTACCTGATTAAATAAAAAAGGCTATTTTCTATGTTTTTAGTGATTTTCTTACCGTTCCTACACCTTGCACCCCTATCGTGTTTTAGTATCGTTTGTTGTTGTCACCTTCTGACTCACCCCAACTCGACGTCTGTGAAAAAGAGCTTCATAGCTCATCGGATTCCTCCACTATAAATGCATATTCTGATTCTGATACCGCTGCGTAGGTTTTTCACCATTGTGCTGTCCAGCTACGCGATGTTTTCTCGGCTTCCACCGCTTCGGTTAATTTCAGTTTCGCGAAGACGCTCCCGTCGGAGCGTGGAGCGAAACGTCGGACATCGTGCCGAAGGGCACCACCGCGGCACAACCGCGAAGGCCTACGCCCGCGGAAAGACGTCGGTCCTTTAAAACTTCCCAAACGAGTCTTCTTGGTTCTTTCGGTAAAGTCACGTAGAAGGGAAATAATAAAATAATAAAAATAAAACATAATAAAATAATTCTCACGACGTTTCGGCCACAACGCAAGCAGCCGTCCTCAGGTGAAGACGTCTGACGCCGTCTCCCCGACAGACCTGGTCTTCACCTGAGGACGGCTGCTTGCGTTGTGGCCGCAACGTCGTGAGAATTATTTTATTATGTTTTATTTTTATTATTTTATTATTTCCCTTCTACGTGACTTTACCGAAAGAACCGAGAAGATGAATCCCTGCAGTCACGAAAGCTTTAAATCGAAATTCCCAAACGAGGTTGAACACGTGAAACGCGTCAGCTGTGCGAGTCCGTGCATGAATGGTGGAAGGTGCGGTAACTATGGCGACGGGCATCCAACTGCTAACAAGTGTCGTCGCCGTTTGGGGATTACGCCGTCGAAAACTGATCGGATCCAGTCGCGCAAAACTTGGCGGCAAACCAGCGCATTTTTTACCTACGTGACTTTTCGGTAAAGTCACGTAGGTAAAACATTAACATTGTGTTGCCTCCGAAACGTCGTGATTTTTATTTTATTTTTATTAATTTTAATGTTTTACCTACGTGACTTTACCGAAAAAACTAAGAGTATGAATCCTTGCAGTCACGAAAGCTTCAAATCTAGAGCCAGCACAGTGAGATTAACGTGGAACGCCGTTTTTGTCTCCGACCCCTGCTTGAATACCTCCAAGGACAGAGATTCCTTGGAAAGCATCGCATACACCGTTGTCTGTATAATACAGCTTTGATTCTACAGGTAGGAACAACAGTTCCACACTGCCCACCAGGGATTATTTGTCTGTCTGTCGTGCATAGCCACGCCTTCGATTTGTAATTCATAGAGCGCTTCGGGTGGGCTCTGCACCACGTGACGCGCCGCGTGACGCGGATCGCACGAATGCGCTGTCCAACCAAGTTCCTACCTGCCCACTCCGAAGGAACGCGTTTCCATAACTTGTTTTATGGAAAAAAAAAAGGTTTCACCTTCGCAGACCAATTCAAGTCGAGAGATTTCAAAAGCAGGGAACTGTTCAAAAGAGACACAGCATTCTCCGGATTGTAATTAGCATTTTTATGCAAAAAGTTGGGGATTATTTTCTTATAATCCCCGTGGCTGCACAGTAGTGCAGCAGTTAGTATCACCAATGCGGAGAAAAAGGCGGCTGGGTGTGGCGCTGGCCACGTGTGCCGTGTTGGCCTTCATAGGTGCTACTGGCTTACAGCACTTACCCCAAAGGTCAGTTAAGGGGGGATTTTTTGTCTTTGTGACCAGATCTGTGTAACACTCTATTGACACTGGGTGTAAGTTGGGGGTGCGTCTTAAGTTCCGGAACGTCTCATAATGTGGAGAAAACGTTAATTTTGTAATTCCACCTCACACTTGAAGCGTCGCTCACCTTCACCTTACACGCTAAGCCACGCCCATCGCCGACGAGCAGCCAATGATGCAACAGCCTTCCTGCCCGTTTTCCTGTGTCCTCGCACGCCATTGGCCGAGATCGGCGTGCCCTCAATGGGTGTGTCAAGGTTCGAGTCGGGGTAAATGCCGCAGGATGAACTCTAGCTATATGCGTGAAGGATTACGGTTAGCGGTTTACGGTAACAAGGTTGTGTTCACTCCCGAGGCATGCAACGATCCACGCTCCTCGCGAAAAAAGTACGTACAAACTCGTTGGTTCTTAATGTAAAGTCATGTAGATTGAAACACAAGCGATCGAAACGCCGTGATCTATTAATTTTCTACCTATGTGACTTCACCGAAAGAACCAAGGAGTATGGATTCCTGCAGTCACGAAAGCTTAAAATCAAGATTAAGTACGGACAAATGGGGAAATAAGGTGATTTCTGAGCGCGCTCGATTCGACACACGTTTCGCGAGTGCACAAATCCACTTGAACGGACGAACCGTCACATGTATAGTTAGCGCTGGGAGTGGGGGGCAGGGGGGAGGGGTTCAGGGTTAGAGTCAGGGCTATAACCACGCCAGTGCCTTTGAACTCGGGGTGGAGAGGGTGAGGGGTGCAGGGCTCCAATCGGATCAAATCAGGCAACCGAGGCTTCTTGCCGAAGCTCCCAGTCATCGTTCGCTCTGTGGGAGGTCACTCGTTCTCCAATGCTGCCCCCCTCCCTTCCCCCAGCCGGCAGTGCTGTCGGCTCCCAATCCCTGTCCCAAGTCCAGGTTCAATGCCTTCCCCTGCTCCTCTGCCTAGGACTGACTTCCTCTCTCTCTCCCTAAACAATAAATATGCTCACTGTTTTTTGTACGGTGTCTCGAGAGACGCTCACGCCTAAGACGCTGGGCGTGTAAATCCAAATGTGAAATAAAAAATTTGCTTTCGATTTAAAGCTTTCGTGACTGCAGGGATTCATCTTCTTGGTTCTTTCGGTAAAGTCACGTAGAATTATGAAAGCAACATAAAATGAGCGAGTTGACCCTACCACGACGCAAATTTTAAATCTTCTTGGTTCTTTCGGTAAAGTCACGTAGAATGGAAATAATAAAATAATAATAATAAAACATAATAAAATAATTCTCACGACGTTTCGGCCACAACGCAAGCAGCCGTCCTCAGGTGGAGAACAGGTCTGTCGAGAAGACAGCGTCTGTCTTTTCGACAGCCCTGTTCTTCACCTGAGGACGGCTGCTTGCGTTGTGGCCGAAACGTCGTGAGAATTATTTTATTATGTTTTATTTTTATTATTTTATTATTTCCATTCTACGTGACTTTACCGAAAGAACCAAGAAGATTTAAAATTTGCGTCGTGGTACGGTCAACTGGCTCATTTTATGTTGCTTTCATCATTTTGGTCACCCGGCAGGTCACTCTTGCAAATGAAACGATCCTGATCTCTTTGACCTTTCACCCGGCTAAACAATATGAACTTGAGTGCGCACCCAGTATAATCGACAGCTGACTGCGTTGCACTGAACTCTGGACCCGACTCGAACTCTGAACCCCAACTCAAAACTCTGCTTCCTAACCTCTAACCTCCAACCCTAAGTGGGGCAGGTAGGGGGGGCGTGGGGGGGGGCCGGGGTGGGGGTGGGGCAGGTGGACGGCGCTGCACCCTGCCCTACGTGACACGGCTCGTCCCGTCGCTACCGGGCTGCGATCGGGGTCTTCCCACCGCTCGCGCTCTCTCCTATGGATGGACCCCCTCCGTCTCGATGCGGAAGTTCTTCTCCTCCTGGGGCTTGCAGATCCAGCGGCCGTAGCCCAAAGTCTCGAGCCTGCGGAGCAGCAGGCCTTTGGCCTCCTGGTAGTGCAGGCTGGCACGCTTGGCCTGCGCATACGTGTCCAGCGACACGAGCTCGGGTTGGCCCAGGTGGTGGCACGCAGCGTGGAACAGCTGGAAGAGGCGCGCCTTGGAGATGCGTGACACGGCCTGGGAGCCGGTCCTGTGGACACACAGAACACGTGTGGGCGTGTGTGTGTGCGCGCGTGTACGCGTGTGTGCTTGCGGCACAACTAAAGACATTTGCCCCAACTGTCTGTTAAGATGCCAGTGGTTAGCGAGCTGCGCTATGAACCCTGCCACTCAAGTTTCATTCCCGCTGATGGCCGTCGCTGACAAATATCTGAATCAATCCTGGGCCTCCCCGAAGTCAACTCGGCAGTAAATGAGTACCTGTTGCGGTGTGTTAACATCACCACTCAGGAGACAAAGGCGGCCGGGCATGGTTCTGGCCACCTATCCCCCTCGTGTGCCGTGCCGGCTCTCATAGGTGCTCGCTAACAGCACTTACCCCAAAATTCTGTTAAGGGTATCCAGGGGATCTTGCCTGTGTGAGCAAGAGCACCTACTACGTGTGTGCATGTGTGCGTGCGTGACTGCGAGTGAGCGACTATGTGTGCGTGCGTGAGAGCGAGCGAGCGTGTGCGCGTATGTGTGCGTGCGTGACTGCGAGTGAGCGACTATGTGTGCGTGCGTGAGAGCGAGCGAGCGTGTGCGCGTATGTGTGCGTGCGTGACTGCGAGTGAGCGACTATGTGTGCGTGCGTGAGAGCGAGCGAGCGTGTGCGCGTATGTGTGCGTGCGTGACTGCGAGTGAGCGACTATGTGTGCGTGCGTGAGAGCGAGCGAGCGTGTGCGCGTATGTGTGCGTGCGTGACTGCGAGTGAGCGACTATGTGTGCGTGCGTGAGAGCGAGCGAGCGTGTGCGCGTATGTGTGCGTGCGTGACTGCGAGTGAGCGACTATGTGTGCGTGCGTGAGAGCGAGCGAGCGTGTGCGCGTATGTGTGCGTGCGTGACTGCGAGTGAGCGACTATGTGTGCGTGCGTGAGAGCGAGCGAGCGTGTGCGCGTATGTGTGCGTGCGTGACTGCGAGTGAGCGACTATGTGTGCGTGCGTGAGAGCGAGCGAGCGAGTGAGTGGGCGTGTGCGCATATGTGTGCGTGCGTGACTGCGAGTGAGCGAGTATGTGTGCGTTCGTGAGAGCGTGCGTGCGTGAGAGCGAGCGAGCGAGTGGGCGTGTGCGCGTATGTGTGCGTGACTGCGAATGAGCGAGTGAGCCTGCTTACGCGTTGTTAATCTTGCCGTGCGTGCCATCTAGCACCTCCTCGGGCTGCCCCTCGGCGTTCCACGTGAGCGACGTCTCCTTAGTCTTCCCTGTCTGGCGGCCAGAGTCGTAGCGGCTCACACGACCCAGCTGACAAAGACAAAGACAACCCCCAGACTGTTGAGGCAAGTGCTGTTAGCGAGTAGCACTTATTATGGGGCCGGCACACGGTGGGTTGGCCAGCACCATGCCCGGCCGCCTTTGTCTCCCCAGTGGCGATGATTACACATCGCACCAGGTACTCATTTAAGGCCGAGTCGACCTAGTGGAGGCCCAGGACCAGTTCAGATAATCGTCACTGGTGTTGGCCTTGAACGCGAATCGAATTCGGTTCGCCGGGTTCGTAGCGCAGCGGCGCTAACCGTTACACTGTCGCTAATTGTACACACACACGCAAACCCATGCATTCACAGACGCAGTGCCTCACAGCAACAAGGGCCTGGGTTCAATTCCCAGCACACTCATCGTGCAGCAGCAAAAAAACACACACACAGGGCCAGGGCTCGAACTCACGAAACACCAAAACCCAGGGGGCATGAGCCTGGTGCCACCAAAAGACAAAAGGACACACACAAACTCGGCACCAGGCTCGGCATTGCCTGCCCGGCATTGGCGACACGGCCATTATGAAACCCAGAATCAGAATATTTATTGACACTGCTAGGAGGAATCCGATGAGCCGTAAAGCTCTTTTTTCCCCAAAAACATTACAAAAATACGATAGGAGTCCAGAGTTAAGGAATGGCAAAAGTCATATTTTTTTAACGTTTTATTTTACCACGTAAACCCCGCTGGGCCATTAACCCACCGAGCCATTAGCTTCTTTATCGGAAGCAACCTGGCCACAAATGAAAGCTTAACCAAGCGGCTTGTCACGTGCGCTACCGTGGGGTGGTTGAGCCGGTACGCGGGCGGCAGCTGCTGCCCCCACAGGGAGTCTTCCTCCGCCTCGCCGGGGCCACGCTTGTCCAGGCGGCAGCAGACGGCCCGGGACAAGTGGCCGTGGCTGTAGAGGAACCCTGACGGCGGTGGGGGAGGAGAGGGGAGCGAGGGGGAGGAGAGGGAGGCGATGGGGAGTGAATGCACGAGCGCGGCGAGAGCAGTGTTGTGTGCGTGCAGAGAGGAGGTGAGGGGTGGTGGCGGAGCGGTTAGCGCGCTGCGCTACGAATTCGGAAACACGGGTTCGATTCCCACTCACGGTCAACACAAGCGTTGTACCGAGCGTGATAGAGCTCAGGTAGACAGGGGTAAGGGTAGAGTTGTACCGAGCGTGATGGAGATCAGGTAGACAGGGGTAGGGGTAGAGCCGTACCGAGCGTGATGCAGCTCAGGTAGACGGGGGTAGGGGTAGAGCTGTACCGAGCGTGATGCAGCTCAGGTAGACGGGGGTAGAGCTGTACCGAGCGTGATAGAGCTCAGGTAGACAGGGGTAAGGGTAGAGTTGTAGCGAGCGTGATGGGGCTCAGGTAGACGGGGGTAGGGGTAGAGCTGTACCGAGCGTGATGCAGCTCAGGTAGACGGGGGTAGGGGTAGAGTTGTAGCGAGCGTGATGCAGCTCAGGTAGACAGGGGTAGGGGTAGAGCTGTACCGAGCGTGATGGGGCTCAGGTAGACGGGGGTAGGGGTAGAGTTGTACCGAGCGTGATGGAGCTCAGGTAGACAGGGGTAGGGGTAGAGCTGCACCGAGCGTGATGGAGCTCAGGTAGACAGGGGTAGGGGTAGAGTTGTACGGAGCGTGATGGGGCTCAGGTAGACGGGGGTAGGGGTAGAGCCGTACCGAGCGTGATGGAGCTCAGGTAGACAGGGGCAGGGGTAGAGTTGTACCGAGCGTGATGGAGCTCAGGTAGACGGGGGTAGGGGTAGAGCTGCACCGAGCGTGATGGAGCTCAGGTAGACAGGGGTAGGGGTAGAGTTGTACCGAGCGTGATGGAGCTCAGGTAGACGGGGGTAGGGGTAGAGCTGTACCGAGCGTGATGGAGCTCAGGTAGACGGGGGTAGGGGTAGAGCTGTACCGAGCGTGATGGAGCTCAGGTAGACGGGGGTAGGGGTAGAGCTGTACCGAGCGTGATGGAGCTCAGGTAGACGGGGGTAGGGGTAGAGTTGTACCGAGCGTGATGGAGCTCAGGTAGACGGGGGTAGGGGTAGAGCTGTACCGAGCGTGATGGAGCTCAGGTAGACGGGGGTAGAGCTGTACCGAGCGTGATGGAACTCAGGTAGACAGGGGTAGGGGTAGAGCCGTACCGAGCGTGATGGAACTCAGGTAGACAGGGGTAGGGGTAGAGCTGTACCGAGCGTGATGGAGCTCAGGTAGACGGGGGTAGAGCTGTACCCAGCGTGATGGAGCTCAGGTAGACAGGGGTAGGGGTAGAGTTGTACCGAGCGTGATGGAGCTCAGGTAGACGGGGGTAGGGGTAGAGCTGTACCGAGCGTGATGGAGCTCAGGTAGACGGGGGTAGGGGTAGAGCTGTACCGAGCGTGATGGAGCTCAGGTAGACAGGGGTAGGGGTAGAGCTGTACCGAGCGTGATGGAGCTCAGGTAGACAGGGGTAGGGGTAGAGTTGTACCGAGCGTGATGGGGCTCAGGTAGACGGGGGTAGGGGTAGAGCTGTACCGAGCGTGATGGAACTCAGGTAGACGGGTAGGGGTAGAGTTGTACCGAGCGTGATGGGGCTCAGGTAGACAGGGGTAGGGGTAGATCCGTACCGAGCGTGATGGAGCTCAGGTAGACGGGGGTAGGGGTAGAGTTGTACCGAGCGTGATGGAACTCAGGTAGACAGGGGTAGGGGTAGATCCGTACCGAGCGTGATGGAGCTCAGGTAGACGGGGTGCAGGAAGTGTGCGAGCAACGCGCCCTGCAGGCCCAGCACGTTCCAGCGCAGGATCTTGTCGCTGCACGACATCGTGCGCAGGCGCTCGCCGCGCTGGATGCCGTCCCAAGTGGGCATCACGTCGCTCGACTCCACGGGAATGGTGCCCTCGCCTGCGCTCACACACGCACACACGCGCGAGGTCGTACACGCGCGCACACACAAAGACAAGACAACCATACCACCGCGCCGTGTAGCCTGTAACAGGACCTTTCCCGGGAACAATGAGGAGTGAGATGCCCCTGTAGTTGTTACAGTCCGTGCGGTCCTCCCCCCACGGCACTGCCTGCCTACCACAGCGTTGCCATCCGGCACCAACGAGGGGGTAGTGGGTTGTTTTTGCCGGACACACACAGGATCACACACAGAAGATCATACACACACAGAAGATAATACACACACACAAGATCATATACTATACACACACAATCATCCACACAGGAGGTCTTGGGATCGATCCCGACCTTGACACGTGTATATTTGGAGTTTGCATATCTCTCTCTCTCCGTGGTTGTGTGCATTTTTCTCCAGATCCTCCGGTTTTTCCCTTCACATTTAGAATGAACACCACGTGTTTTAGAGTATTTGGCTGCGATAAATTTCCACGTGATAATCCACTTCGTTGAGCTACCATTTGTGGCCAGGTCGCTTTTGAGAAAGAGCGACATAGTTCAGCGGGGGCCTTCCCTGCAGCCCTCACAGGAGACAACTGCCATACGATGCCGACCCCTGACCTCTCTCTGCCAATGACACCTCTGCTTAACTCCTACACCCCACCGCGTGACCCCCCCCCACCTCACACGACCCCCGCCCTCGCCATTCCCAACCGCTCACCGTTCTCGATCTTTGTCCGTAGCTTCCCCTGCCTGGCGTTATCGAAGAGGGGGCGGTGCGGCCCCCCGGAGGAGCCCCCCCCGTCGGCTGGCTCGCTGGCCGTCTTGTCGAAGATGGCACCGTCGCCGCACGGGGCGGTGCTGGGAGGCAGGAGGGGGGGGGGGTTGGGGTCGGGGGGGGTCAGCGGTTCGCAGCGGGTGGGGGGGGGGCGGGCAACGTCGTTAATCTTTTTAGATTTGAAGCTTTCGTGACTGCAAGGATTCATACTCTTAGGTTTTTGTTGGTAAAGTCACGTAATAATAAAAGTAATAATATTTTATTTCCATTATTACTTTTATTAACTTTTAATTTTATTTTTTACTTACGTGACTTTACCGAAAAAACCTAAGAGTCGTTAATCTTCGCTGAAGTTTTTTTTGTTTCGTGGGGTGGGCGGAACGGGCTATTGGTAGGCCTCGGCAAGGTAAGGCAAAAGGTCAAAAACAACGAGCCTACCTTTACCCTACCTTTTGCCCTTACCGCATACAAATTACCCAATTACAGGTTAATTACTGGGGTACTACACATGAACAAGGTTTATAACCGGTAAATGCTCGGTAGTGCTTTAATCATATAGAAAATACTCTCGATGATTCCAATTTTAAATGGAGGCCACGGACTGCGCCACAGAGCTTTTAGCGAGCGGTAAACAAGGTATTTACCGGGTAATACTTCGCGCTACCTTTACCCTACTGGGAAATTCTTCCGCGCTACCGTTACCCTACCCTTTACCGTACCCCTTGGCAAGTCGACATCTTTACCCTTTTAGCTCTACCCTTTTACCCGGTAAAAAGGGTAAATTACCTTGCCGAGGCCTAGCTATCAGGGGCCCCCTGCACGCACCGCCCCCCCCATCATCAAGAGCGCAAGTCGTAAACGGGGATTGTTAACGGGGGACGCAGCGAGAGGCAGAGGTCGCAACCGGGTACCCGATACCTGTACCCTACCCGATACCCGGCTATCCGTACCCGGCCGGGTACGGGTACCCGTTTGCGACCCTGGTGCGGCCGGGTACGGGTACGGGTAAGGAATCAAAACCCGTTTGCGACCTCTGGCGAGAGGTCCGCTAGAAACCAGCGAGTCGAGGCGGAGCTCACGGGCGAGTGCGGCCGCCCGCTCGGCGCGTCACTCGCGTGACAAAGACGAGATCTCGCCGCTCGGGTTTTTTAACCAGCGACAGCGGTTGAAAAATTAAATTGCTAATTTATTTTGTTTGAACCAAGTGCCAAATGAAGGGACCAGAATAGAGTCTCATTTGTGAGTGTCCTGGGGCATTCGTCTGCCAGTACGGGGCGATGATTGCTGCTGCTAATGCTGCGTGTAGAATCCCAATTGCATATTTGCGGTGTCATTTTCGCATTTTGCACATTTTAACCGTCACGCTCGTGGCACACAACGGCCCTAGTTCTGGCGAACGACGCCACGGGGGCGTTTCACGTCCGCTGCGAGCGAAGCAGACGGCGTGCGACGCTACCACGGTTCACAACGCGCCGTCACCGCCCAACTCATGGGTCAGAGGTCACGGGTTTGCAGGGGGGGGGGGCGGGGTCAGGACGGGGAGGGGTCATTAGGTCACCTGATGTAGAGGTGGAATTGAACGTCGTTCCTGACGGCTAACTTGCCGTCGAACTCGCAGAAGATGCTCTGATCGGGGTCGCTGGGGTCGTGCAACATCAGCTGACTGTAGAGGAACCTGCAGGGAGCGCACGCGCAACGCAGAGACACGCCTCATTAAGGCACGGCGGTCTCCTTAATGTGTGCACACGTGTTGAACTTCGTGAGCACCGTACGTAGCAAACCGTGCTACGTACGGAGATCGGGGGACCTCGTTAGGACCGAGAGACCTCGTCAAGGCAAGGAGACTCAAGAGTGAGCATCGGGTAGAGTGATACAGACACGCGTCATTGTCCACAGACATTAACAAGTCTTGAGAGAAACCCCCATCATCCAAAAGACAGAGATCTCGTCATGACCTCGTTAAGATAGATTTTGTTAAGGTACAGAGTGACCTTGTCCAGATGAAAGAGACACAAATGCATGCATGCAGAAACACAAACAGACGTATACAAATACGCAAATGCACGGACACAAATACACACAAGCGTGAACACAAGACGTAAACATACATACACAGACATATATATAGAGAAACGCAGAGACACAAATACACACATTCACAGGCCACAAGCACACATCAAGAGAAATGACAATGTCAAAGATCCCCATATAGCGTTAACAGACTGTTAGGGGAAGTGTTGTTAGCGAGCACCTGACACAGCACACGAGGAGGTGGGTGGCTAGCACCACGCCCGGCCGCCTTTGTCCCCTTAGTGGCGATGTTTACACACTGCACCAGATACTCATTTCAGGCTGAGTCGACCTAGGGGAGGCCCAGGACCTGTTTAGATTATCGTCACTGGTGTTGGCCATGATTACCGCTCCACTAAAAAAAAAACAATGACACACACACACATACAAGTACGTGCGCACGCGCGCTTGCAAATTAACAAAAATCACACTGGGCAACGCGTCTTCAAATTTTCCCTTGCGGTGAAATGTCAAGAGCGCTGGGAGACTCGCACCCGAGTGGACGCTCGGTGATTAACACGATCATCGTTGTGCCGGAGCGATGGCAGGGTGACTCAGAGGTGAGGGCTCTGTGAGCTAGCACCACCGAGCTTGGCCTGGGTGTGAAACCGCACAGCAGCCTCTGATTTTGACACCCTACAGTGAGTCAAGCCCGGTCACCAATCACTGCACAAGCAATAAAAATAAAACTCATCATGTGAAACTTTGATTAGTAATTGATTTTTGCGTTAGGCCAAGTAATGATCTGTATATGAATGTATGTATGTTCAGCATCTTTCGCACCATTCGTAGCCAACTGTGCTGATTTCGTTGGTGCGGGACACATTTATGTTGTTAAGACCCACTCCCCCACCTAACAGAGCCGAACAACTTAATTTGTCGCGCGCGCCGGCGTTTAAAGTGACAATTATTATTGCCGCCGCCACCGTCGTCATGGATTCAGCTCTCGCATCGGTAAAACAGAAAGTACGGTTCGCGCAACCGAACGGAGCATGGATCGTACATAATACTGGCTGCTGGAAAAACACCACGCGCAACGTGACATCTTTTTTGTCTGGGCTAATTTAAAATATAGGTACGACTGTCGCGTGAAGAACACGGGAGCGAGGGAAAGTTGAAGACGCCGCCTCGAGTGCCGTGCGACTCAGTAGCAGAGCGGGCGGGACAGCGCTGCCCACCCCTTCAGTGGCGGCTCTGCGATATCCGCTTCCGCGGGGTGGCGTTCTCTAGCTCAAAGGGCTGCGCGGGCCCTGCGAGACTTCCGAATGGATTCTTCCCCTCGTGACGACGCGACGGCGTCGTCACGAGGGGAGGGGGGGGCATCAAAGGAGCCGAAAAACAAACGAATAAAAACTTTAAACAAAAAAAATCATCACCAGCCTGACAGGGAGAGGCGGTGGCTGCAATGCCAGCAAAGCACACGACGACCACAAAGGCAGGGAGGCAATGTGAGCTGAGTTCAAGGTGGGTGGGGGGAGCGTCGTCGACGGGGGTGGTCGGGTCAGCAGTGGGCGCTGTTGCAGAGGCTATCGCGATCTGCGGGGGGAAGCACGCGGCGTCGTGCGTGGCTGGGGCAAGCGGGGTGAGTAGCAGGTGGGCGAGCGATTCCTAGATCGGCGGGTAGGACGACTGTGTGTCAGGTGGTGTGAGCGGGTAGGTACGTGGAGAATAGATTGGTAGGCAGGTTGATGTTTTGGTGGGGGGAGTGGGTAGGCAATTTAACACGTAGGCTTTCGCGACCAAAATGATGCATATTAGAGGTGTTTTGGGTTAGATCGTGTAAATATAAATGCGTCGTTAAATCCTCCACCACGCGACACAGCCAATTAGTAAGGTTTGTCACGTGAACAAAACATGCCATGGCTGTCGCCCGATGAGGCTGGTTATAATTACCGGCGAAATGTCGTACTCAAATTGTAAATGTTATGGGTTTGCTCTCCAACACACCGGTGTGCTGTACTAGTAACCAATTGCCATTTTTTTTTACAAACCCTTACTAATTGGCTGTGTCGGGTGGCGGCGGGTTTAATGATACATTTATATTCACGCGATCTCACCCAAAAACTCGATTATGGGTAGAGAAGTGAAAGAGAAGATGGATTGGTGTGCTGATCGGCGAGTGGGTGGATGAGTTCGGTTGGTGGGGGAATATAAGTGAAAAGGAATATTGTTGGTAGGTTGTTGTGCTGATACGGCGAGTGGGTAGGTGAGTAACTCGGTGAGCGGACTCACCCATTCAACCCCTCACCCATTCCTCACTCACTCTCTCACCTTCCTGTATTTACCACTCGCCTACCTAACTGCAATTGTTAACCAATAAATGAGTGGCATGAGTGAGCGATCAAGTTGGTGGCTGACGTATTGGTGGTGTGTGGATGAGTGAGCGAGCGCGTCAGCAGGTATGACTGACGGACGAGCGGCTGACTTGGGCAACCGCACCTAAAATCAAAACCTTCACCGCCGCCACCACCGCCGCCGCCACGAAAACTGACATCAATGGAGACTGCCACCACCCACCACACCCATCCAACCGCCGGTTCAAACGGCGTTTCATCTGATGCCGTTACGATTCCGGGGTGGTGCAGGGGGCATTCCTTCTCACGCACACCACACACCCTGCAGAGTCACGACCGTACAACGCATCGGCCCGTTGTGTTCGCGGCTACGGAGATTGGCGATAACGCCGTACGCCGGACCGTCGTCTGACACCCGGCACGACAATGGCGCGGTGGGGGCTTGTTCCGCAGCTGCTAAAACGGTAAAGGTGCAGCCCTACAACAGCTTTTCTCCCGCCAATGTTGGCGGAACGCCCCGCTGGCTAAAAGTTGAGGCTCTAGAGCCCCCCCCCCCATCACCTCCAAATACGAGAGCGTTTGGGCCTACTCTTCCACACCAGCCAAACGTCGTGGAATGGGGGGGGGGGTTACACACACTTCACCCAATCACATCTGTGCCCGCGCCGAGGGACGGAATCGAAGCCGACCTCGCGAGTCTGACGCCGGTGCCGACTGGTGCGCCCGGCGTTCTGCGCCAAACGAGCCCCCCGCACACCGACCAGCCGGCGCTCTCGCCATGAGCAACACTCGCAATCGATGCCGCTCATTCAAGTCTGGCGCTAAATATTGATAAATATCGACCACAGCAGTCCCCTTAGAACTTCCGTAAATCTATTTACTGCTCACAAAGCCATGAACCCGCGTTACGTTGGTGGGGGTGCGAGAGTCCACGTTGCGCGACCCTCTGGTCGGGGGAACACCGCGACACGGGAGGTCGCCGGCTCCATCTCCCGGCGCGGCGGTCGAAGCAGCGGTGGCGAGCTTCTCGATTCCTCCCCCCAGCTTCTTGCGTCCACCCAGCGGCATAAAAGTGGCTTCATCGATTGGCAGGCCGCGCGCGGCGAGGTCAAGCGTGGCTACTCGCGCCTCTTCCCAGACGTTTAGCACAGCGTGGAAGAGTAGGCCAAGAACCTTCTCTACGGTGCGCTCTGAGTAGGGGGCGGGGGGCCCTTCAACCGGCAGTGACGTGAGCACACGATTGTGGGGGCTGCATCTCTGCCCTGGCCACCGCTGATTTAAGTACGGGCGTGACGACGACGACACGTAGGAGAATATCGATTGCTAAGCTCGAGATATAGATGCACGCGCGTCTATCTCACGTTGCGTCGTGAGATGCATTTTCTCTCCTCCCCACCACCCCGGTCGCGGCTGTTGCGTTGCTTTGTTTGACCGCGGGACTGCGGTGAGCACGGTTGGCTACGTAGGGACCAGGTGGGCAGGAAGCCGTGATAACACTACCCCAAATCCACCCGGTCTGGACATGAAAGGCCTGGGTCCGACCCTCCTTTCTTTCGCGCGCGCTCGTCCCCCCGTCTCCTGCCCCCCCCACCCCTGCCCGCGTCGACCCGGAGGTCTCCGTCGCCATGGTTACGCGGGTGTCCCAGCGCCTACCACCGCAATCACCCGGAACGCGCCCGGTATTAGTCGGGTCTGCAAAGCCCAGCGGGGGTTTGAGACTGGACTAGCACCACCAGCACCACCAGCACCACCAGCACCACCAGCACCACCACGCGTAACAGTCGCTACAGGTTGCAGGGCCACGCACGGCAGTGCACCAAACTCCACTGTTGTACCGTACTCGTACGCCCCAACGTCTACGCTCCGCGCCTTCACCAAGCCGCCTAGACCAGCGTGGTGAAGTATGACAAAAACAATAACGCCCCGCTCCCCCAGTCCATCACCACCCCCCCCGCCCCCAATCACATTTTCTCATAGTCCGGTGCACGGGGCGAGCCCTCCCCCTCCCGGCCCCGTGGTGCAGTTGCACCGCCTGCACAGCCGACGGCTACCGAAGCCAACCGGCGATCTTCGCGCTCAGAAAGTTACGTCGGCGGCGACGATCGCCGGTGACACATTGAGATCCAGGGTTCCTTGCGGTCTATTGTAATCCCCCCCCACCCACCCTCGTCCCAACCCCCGCAGATCAATTATGCATCGCTTGCAATCAATTACAATCACTTACAACGCGGTCTAGAGAGCACAGCTCCGTTAAAGGGTCGCTTCTTCAATTATTTATGAGCGGTGGCGATTGATGGATGGACCGACGCACGCACGAACGGGCACACGGACGGGCGGATAGAGTGACAGCAGTGACAGAGGAACAGATCGGCGCGGGGAGGGATAGACGAATGGACAGACGGACGGACGGATTGATGGATAGATAGGTATACGAATGGACAGGCAGAATGAGAGATTGACGGACAAGCACGCGGGCGGATGAATGGACGGATGAAGAGACTGACAGGTTGGGTGGACAGACAGAGAGACGCGGAAACAGGCGGGCAGATGGCAAGAGAGAGATAGAGCGGCAGGCAGGCAGACGGACACAAATATCTATTTATGGACAGGGTGGCAGCCAAAGAGACAATTGGACGAAAAATATGCAGACAAACGAACAAACAGAGAGACCAACAGACAGGCAGGTGGGCAGTCATGCGGGCAGACAGACAGATGGAAAATAGACAGAATGGCAGACAGACTAAGAAATGGATAAATGGACAAACCAGGCAGCCCAGCATGCAGACGCAGAAACATGGACAGAAAGACAAAGAGACAAACAGACACGCAGACGGACAGGCAGCCAACGCGCAGACAGACAGACAGCAAGAGATGGATGGTGAGCGTAAGGGTGGATGGGCCAGGGGATGGCGGAGGGGAAATTGAAAGCTGGAAACTGGGTCAAGAGGAGGCAGGTGCATGGGGGTGCGTGGGGGGTGGAGGCGGTGTGTGGGGGGGGGGGGCATGCCAGGGGGATCCCACACGGAACAGCGAGCATGGTGAATCCACTCGCCAGGGTCAATCACGTCTCTCCGTGTGCACGCAACAAAGACAAAGATCCCCCGTGTAGCCTTAACAGACTGTTGCGGAAAGTGCTGTTAGCGGGCACCTATGAAGGCCGGCACGGCACACGAGGGGGTGGGTGGCCAGCACCACCCCAGTGGCGATGTTTACACACCACACCAGGTACTCATTTGAGGCTGAGTCGACCTAGGGGAGGCCCAGGACCGGTTCAGATAATCGGCACTGGTGTTGGCCGTGAGCGGGAATCGAATCCGTGTTGCCGGGTTCATAGCGCAGCGCGCTAACCGCTACGCTATCGCTCCCCACAACACACACAACAGACAAAGATCCCTCATGTAGCTTGCACAAGCTGCTGGGGCAAGTGTTCTTAGTGGGCACATGTTAAGGCCGACGAGGCACACACGAGGGGATGGGTGGCGCCAGCACCACCATGCCTAGCCACCGTTGTGTGGGGGGGGGGGGGGCTGCGCGCGTTTCCCCTTCGCGTCGCGATTATTTCCGCGGCTATCGGGCAAATATCGTTGGTCGGCGGGAAAGAGTCTTAGCCGGGGACGGCGCTGCGGACAAACAAAGGTGGGCGGTCTCCTTAATTCAATCCAAAGGGCAGCCGGACAACACGAGCCGCATCGAGGGAGTGCAGGATTAGGGAAATAAAGCGTGTGTTGTGGCATTCCAGAAGGAATAAAGAAACAAGTAAATAATTAAGGGGCTATATAGAAAATTAAATAAGCTGGTCCCATCGCGTTGTCGCACGCCAGTGAATAACTTTTCAAATTAAAAGATTTTCTTTTCCTTCGGGGGAAATGGCTTTTTAAATTTTTAATAAAGATTTTTTATGCTCTTCCTAATGCACTCGGAGCTGTTGTGTGTATGTTTGTGTGGCGTGTGTGTGTGGCGTGATGTGTGTGTGTGTGCGATCGGGTGGGGAGCGGTGATGTGTGTGTGTGTGGCGTGGCGTGTGCGTGATGTGTGTGTGTGTGGCGTGGCGTGATGTGTGTGTGGCGTGGTGTGTGTGGCGTGTGGTGCGTGTGTGGGCGATCGGGTGGGGAGCGGTGGTGTGTGTGTGTGGCGTGGCGTATGCGTGATGTGTGTGTGTGTGGCGTGTGCGTGATGTGTGTGTGTGTGGCGTGTCGTGTGCGTTATTGTGTGTGTGTGTGCGATCGGGTGGGGAGCGGGGCACAGCGGTTAGCGCGCTGCGCTACGAACCCCGGTGACCCGGGTTCGATTCAAGCTCACGGCCACCAACACCCAGTGACGATAATCTGAACCAGTTCTGGGCCTCCCCTAGGTTGCCTCGGCCTCAAATGAGTACCTGGTGCGCTGTGTAAAAACATCGCCACTGGGGAGACAAAGGCGGCCAGGCGTGGTGTTGGCCACCCAGCCCCTCGTGTGCCATGCCGGCCTTCATGAGTGCTCATCAACAGCACTTGCCCCAACAGCCTGTTAAAGCTACACGGGAGATCAATGTCTTTGTGCGGATCGGGTGAGTGGATCTGTGTGCGAGTGACTGTCTGTGCGTGTGGAGCGCCAGCACAGCGGTACAAACCCAGCGACCCGAGTTTGATTCACGCTCACAACCAATAGCCGTGGCGAATATTTGCACCGGTTCTGGGCCTCCTCTAGGGCGACTCAGCCTCAAATGAGTACCTGGGTGCAGGTGTGTATAGATCAACACTGGGGAGAAAAAGGTTGGCGGGCCGTGATGTCTGCCCCCAACAAAGCTACAGGAGGGATCTCTGTTTCTGTGTATCTACGTGTCTCTGCCCGTGTCTCCGAGCGAATCTGAGTTATATATAGTCTTTCGGTAAAGTTACGTAGATATCTTCAAAGAAAATAGCAAAAAACACTGACGCTTCGATCGCAACACAAGCGGTCATCATGAAAAGGGAGTTAGCTTCTAAAGGCGAACTGTTTTATAAAGGGTTGAAATGGGCATAGCCCAAATGTCAGCAGCCAATGTTAATGTAAGTGGTGGGCAGCAACCACGACGATGATGGTGGGTTTTCCACCAATCAAAGGGCTGCCAGGTGAAAATTAGCATGTTGATGTAAGATCGGTGAGCAGCCTCACATTAACATAGGTGGCTATGCTAATGTGAGAGATTAGCACGTTAATGGCAGATCGGTGAGCAGTCTCACATTAACATAGGTGGCTATGTTAATGTGAGAGATTAGCATGTTAATGGCAGATCGGTGAGCAGCCTCACATTAACATAGGTGGCTATGTTAATGTACGAAATTAGCACGTTAATGGCAGATCGCAGAGCAGTAAACCTTGAGCTCGGCGTGTGAAGTGGCTGTGTTAGTGTGTTACCTGTTAATGAACAACTAACATCGGAAGGTGGTAGGATGGAAACATCACAGCTAGTTATGACTTGGTTGATAACGTCCATCCAATGATTGCTCAGTTTGTACCCATCTTCTCGGCTGAAATTGTGTCTGTGTTTGTATATATGGATGGCTTCATGAACGAATCTTTGTTGATAGCCAGTGGGCTTGCAAAGTATCTTCTTCGTCTTAGAGAAATCAATTTCGTGTGAGCCCACCGCATTAAAACAATGATCAGCCACGGCCGAGGTATTGGTCCTACCGTGTTTCAGATCTGCCTTATGACGTGTTGCTTAGTTTCCCCAATGTAACTACTGCTGCAGACACAGCTTAAGTTTGTAGACGCCTTGTACGCGATCGTCCTTTCCAACCTGGAGCCTCTTCTGGGCTGCACACAACTCGACATCAGTGCCCTGTTTTATCCGAACCGTTTCTGGTCGTGAGGTCGACGCGGCCATTAAATGAGCACTGGAACGCGGTGTGTGGTTGCTGGCGCAGGTGAGACCAAGGTGGACGGGCTTGGGGGTGTGTGGGTGGGTGCGTATGTGGGTGGGTATATGCGTGCGTGGGTGCGTGCATAGGTGGGTGCATGCGTGGGTGGGTACATGCGTGGGGGTGTGCGTGTGGGTGCGTGGGTGGGTGCATAGGTGGGTAGGTGCGTGGGTGGATGCGTGGGTGGGCGCGTGCGGGTTGGGCACATGGTTGGGTGCGTGGGTGGGCGTGTGCATGGGTGGGTACGTGGGTGGTTGCGTGCGTGGGTGGGTGCGTGCGTGCATGGTTACCGTATGAATCCGCGCCGCGCGATGATCTCGGCGTGGGAATCGTTCACGGTCTCGCCCTTCAGGCTCAGCTCCTCTCCCTTCACACAGCGGTTTCCTGCTCGCAAAGAGACAAAGAGCCCCCGTACAGGCTTCAGAGACCGTTTGGGGAAAGTGCTGGTAGCGGGTAGCACCTGTGAAGGTTGGCACGGCACACAAGGGGGTGGGTGGCCAGCACCACGCGCGGGCCGCCTTTGTCTCCCCAGTGGCGACGTTTACTACACACCGCACCGGGTACTCATTTGAGACTGAGTCGACCTAGGGGAGGCCTAAGACCGGTTCAGATAAGCGCCACTGGTGTTGGCCGTAAGCGGGAATCAAACTCGGATCACTGGGTTCGGAGTGCAGCGCGCTAACCACGACACTACCGCTCCCCTAGGCTACCACTACCTTTTTTTACTCTTGTACAAAGACACATATCCCCCGTATAGCCTTAATAGACTCTTGGGGCAAGTGCTGTTAGCGAGCGCCTATGAAGGCCGGCAAGGCACACGAGGGGGTGGGTGGCCAGCACCGCGCCCGTTCGCCTTTGTCTCCCCAGTGGCGATGTTTACATACTGCACCAGGTACTCATTTAAGGCTGAGTCGGCCTAGGGGAGGCCCGGGACCGGTTCAGATTGTCACTGGTGATGGCCATGAGCACGACCGCCCAGGACTTGGGCGGTCGAGTTCGTGGCGCAGTGCGAGAAACTGCTACACTATCGCTCCCCACTGTTCACACACACACACGCCTCATTTGAGGCTGAATCGGCCTAGGGGAGGGCCAAGGACCGGTTGAGTGGGAATCGAACCCGGGTCGCCGGGTTTGTACCACAGTGCGCTAACTGCTACACTACCACTCTCCACGACTCGTGTAGTCTTTGACACAAACACACGCACACAGACAATAGCACATCGGGCCTCCTTCAGTGCACCGCAGCCTCCGACGTCGCCACTCGTTTTGACCCGGCCCGCGTCTTCCTCTAGATTCGTCAATTCCGTCACGACGCAGTCGGCGGCCGCGCTTTAAGTTCGGCCGCTTCGCGGGTCATCGTCGCCCACAATGCAACGGCAACACTTCGCCAGTCTCGTCGACGGCATTCGCACCGCGTGTGCACGTGCGATCGAGCGGTTGACCTACCGACCCCGAGGCTGACCACCAGGGCGCTGTCCATGCTGCCCGGGGCGGGCCCGTCGCCCTCCACCTCGGCCGGCCCCCTCGTCATGACGATGGCCGCCATCACCTTGCGCCCGACGAGCTGCGAGCGGCTCTCCTCGGCGATGGCGTCCAGCGTGGCGGTGCTCATCTCGGCCACCTCGTCGTGGAAGGTTCGGTCCGGCACCGAGAAAGCCTGCCGGGGCACGTGGGCAAAGCGAGGGGGGGTCAAGGTGATAGCCGCTGAAGGTTGCCATATGGAGGGCGGCCGCTACCGGATCTCACCCCACCGCCACACCTCTGTCCACCCGGCGGCACGAATGGGTGTAGCCGCGGTCAGCCGATCGGTGGGTAAGGTGCGGTGCGAGGGTAAAACTATGGGTCAGCAATATCTTTCATACCTAATATAATCACCCAGAAATGTCTGTCCTGAACGCTCGTGACGTCACTACTCCACATCAACCAGCTCCCCTCATTAATATTCAGGAGCAGGTGACGTCCTCCAAATGGACACCCCCCTCTCAATTCATAATAAATAGCGGATGACGTCACTACACATGGGGGGGCGAGGCGCCTCCTCCCCCCCCTCCTCGGTGTCAACTTACAACCCTCACGTCACGCAATCTCCGTAACGCTATTGAGACATCAAAGTAAAAAGGACGTCACGATGAACAAGGGATTATAACCTTAAAATGAAATAGGTCTGTCACGGCGCCCTTACAAATTGCACGCGCATTTGTAATAAAGCTCGTTGAGGCAACTTCTGGAATCCGTCTTTTATTCAACTTGTATTACAGCTTTCCTTCACACTGCTGACAGGCAGAGTGAGAGGGACAGATAGAGAGAGACGCACCGCCACATGGCAACCCGGAGCCCCGCTCCCGCGTGGCCCCCTTCCTCTGTTCATTCCCGTTCTGACCACGTGTCGTTCGTCTCCACCCCTATTTAATACCCGGGTCACGTGGTACGTTTCCGCCAATCCTCGTTAGCCTCCATGGAATCTTCCAGGCTCCCTCGTCAGCTCCCGGGACCACGCCCCTGACTCATCTCCCCATTGGCTGTGGCCAAAGCCAGCAGAACCAATCCTTACAGCTGTCACCTTTCCATCACGTCAGGGCCACGCCCCTAGGCTTCCCCCCCATTGGCTGTAAACCAGGACCGGCAGAGCCAATCATCATGACGAGTTGTGATACGTCAGCGAGCCGGATATATCCTTACATTACACATTGATGCAATGAATATATCACGTCGCGGTCTGCTTTTTGCTTGCAAATTTAGATTTACTGCAATACACCCGTCCTTGGATGGGCAAAAGACGAGTTAGTTTTGAATTCAGATTATTCAAAAGTGCACAGCTCCAGTAGCTTCCTAATATCGGAAGGAAGAGTGTTCCAGACGGCCGCAGAACCGGATTTGAAAGCGTGCGATGCGGTTACCACCGTCTTTGCTCGATGGCCAACCAAAAACAGCTGCTGCGAGGAAGACCGGAGTTTGCATGATGGATTATGCTCCTTGACGAAGTGGAGGCTGTTCTGCTACCAGTCCCTGCGCTAGCTTCTGGGTCGCAGTGCTATCCGCCGGGTCTCTGTGCCATCGCGGTACCGGTAACTGCGTACACAAATAGAACTCTCCCACCACTCTGAGTCTCCACGTGGCACATAGCCTGAGTGGCACATAGATTGGGTGGCACGTAGACTGGGTGGCACGTGGATTGGGTGACACGTAGATTGGGTGGCACATAGATTGGGTGGCACGGAGATTGGGTGGCATGTAGATTGGGTGGCACGTAGATTGGGTGACACGTGGATTGGGTGGCACGTAGATTGGGTGGCACGTAGATTGGGTGACACGTAGATTGGGTGGCACGTAGATTGGGTGACACGTGGATTGGGTGGCACGTAGATTGGGTGACACGTAGATTGGGTGGCACGTAGATTGGGTGGCACGTAGATTGGGTGACACGTAGATTGGGTGGCACGTAGATTGGGTGACACGTGGATTGGGTGGCACGTAGATTGGGTGACACGTAGATTGGGTGGCACGTAGATTGGGTGGCACGTGGATTGGGTGGCATGTAGATTGGGTGGCATGTAGATTGGGTGGCACATAGATTGGGTGGCATGTAGATTGGGTGGCATGTAGATTGGGTGGCACGTAGATTGGGTGGCACGTGGATTGGGTGGCACGTGGATTGGGTGGCACGTGGATTGGGTGGCACGTGGATTAGGTGGCACGTGGACTGGGTGGCACGTAGATTGGGTGGCACATAGATTGGGTGGCACATAGATTGGGTGGCACGTAGATTGGGTGGCACGTGGATTGGGTGGCACGTGGATTGGGTGGCACGTGGATTGGGTGGCACGTGGATTAGGTGGCACGTGGATTAGGTGGCACGTGGACTGGGTGGCACGTAGATTGGGTGGCACGTGGACTGGGTGGCACGTAGATTGGGTGGCACATAGATTGGGTGGCACGTAGATTGGGTGGCACGTAGATTGAGTGGCACGTAGATTGAGTGGCACATAGATTGGGTGGCACGTGGATTGGGTGGCACATAGATTGGGTGGCACGTAGATTGAGTGGCACGTAGATTGGGTGGCACGTAGATTGAGTGGCACGTAGATTGGGTGGCACGTAGATTGAGTGGCACATAGATTGGGTGGCACGTAGATTGGGTGGCACGTAGACTGGGTGGCACGTGGATTGGGTGACACATAGATTGGGTGGCACATAGATTGGGTGGCACGTGGATTGGGTGGCACATAGATTGGGTGGCACATAGATTGGGTGGCACATAGATTGGGTGGCACGTGGATTGGGTGGCACATAGATTGGGTGGCACATAGATTGGGTGGCACATAGATTGGGTGGCACGTGGATTGGGTGACACGTGGATTGGGTGACACGTGGATTGGGTGGCACGGAGACTGGGTGGCATGACGACCGTGATGACGGTGACATTAATGACGATTATGGTATTTGAGAGGATGATGCCATGAAGAATTAGTTCAATCACGCAGACGGAGATAACAAACACAAACTTTAATGCCACTGTTGATGGTGACATCGGTGGTGATGACAATAATTAATAATGAAATAAGAATAGGCTTTACCCTTTTCCGGCAATAAGACAGTTGGTGTCACGGTGTTTAAACACCAAATAGATACCTATTGGGAGGTATAAAGTCTAACCACATATGCTTGTGGTAAAACATGTAAACAAACACGCTTTCATAATGTATGCATTTTCTTGGTTCTTTCGGTAGAAAATTCTTGTTGTGGATTTCACACCTGATGACGATTGCTTGTGTTGCAGTGGAAACGTCGTGAGAATTAGATTGTTTAATATTTGTATTATTTTATTATTTCCCTTCTACATGACTTTACCGAAAGAACCAAGATTATGAATCCCTGCAGTCATGAAAGCTTTAAATCAAAATGTTTGCATTGTCGTTGAAACTTGATTGGCCGACACCAGAGAGAGACTCCTTAATGGCCTTGTCTCACCACCAGTGCTGGACCAGAGAACAACGCCAAAAGGGGAACAGCACAAAGGAAAGCGCAAATATCAAAGCATTCATAAAAATGGTCCCACAGAGATAATAATACACATAACAGCGATGGCGATGATTTGGGCAGCATCGACAACAATAAGCTATCTTCTTGGTTCTTTCGGTAAAGTCACGTAGAAGGGAAATAATAAAATAATAACAAAACATAATAAAAATAAAACATAATAAAATAATTCTCACGACGTTTCGGCTACAACGCAAGCAGCCGTCCTTCACCTAAGGACGGCTGGTTGCGTTGTGGCTGAAACGTCGTGAGAATTATTTTATTATGTTTTATTTTTATTCTTTTATTACTTCCCTTCTACGTGACTTTAACGAAAGAACCAAGAAGATGAATCCCTGCAGTCACGAAAGCTTTAAATCGACAACAATAAGCTAAATTACACTGACGTCGAGGACGAAGAGAGCGGCAAAAATCACGGCGACGATGAGAGCACCGACGAGGCTGACTACAACGTCGCTTGAGGACGGGCAAAGTGGCACTGTTCATCTTCTTGGTTCTTTCGGTAAAGTCACGTAGAAGGGAAATAATAAAATAATAAAAATAAAACATAATAAAATAATTCTCACGACGTTTCGGCCACAACGCAAGCAGCCGTCCTCAGGTGAAGAACAGGTCTGTCGAGAAGACAGAGTCTGAATGATAACCCCAGGCTTGACTTTACCGAAAGAAGCAAGAAGATGAATCCCTGCAGTCACGAAAGCTTTAAATCGAAAAAAAAAATTGGCACTGCTCTGCTTCTCGACAGACACACGAGGGCGGTGGGGCTGCCAAGTCAAGCGGAGGAGCGAGCGAGCGAACAAGCGTTGATCTTGGGCCAATCGGGAGCACGTGGGAGAGTGGACAACAGAGAAAAGGAGAGAGAGAGCGGGAGAGCGAGCGGGAGAGAGAGCGGGAGGAGAGCGGGAGAGCTGTAAAAAGCCAGGGACTGCTCAGGCACAGCAGTAGCATCGCAAGCGTCGCCACGGCAACTGTTGCCTGGCGCCCCGGCACTTGGTACTCTTGATGGGGGGGTAAAGCCTCCATTGAATGGCCGGGTTTAGAATTGACCAAATAACGTTTTTTGTCTCGCTTTCAAATGGATCTGTTTGTATTCTTTATCATTATTTATTATTGATTTTTTTCATGCGTGTTTGTGTGTGTGTGCACGTTCTGTTTACGTGACAAACCTTATTAATTGACTGTATCGGGCGGTGTCGGGTTCAACGACACATTTATATTGACACGCTCTAACCCAAAAAGACCTGCATTATGGACCTTCAAAACAGCGACCGCACGTTTTGTGTGCCGTCGCGCAGCCTTGGTGAGAGGCGACGCCGAGGGCGTGAGGAAGATCCGCAGTAGGGGCGTCGGCGGCAAGGAGGTTTGGGGGAGAGGGGGGGGGCCTAGGGAGGACAGGATAACTGCGGAGAAGATTCGTCGGCAACGAGCGCACTACAAAATAACGGCGAGCGAGTGCGGATGACGGGAGGGGGCGGCGGAGGTATCACCTCCGTTGGTGCTCCCCGGGTTCAAGTTTTTACGGGAATTCCACATTGCCACGACGGGAGACCAAAACGACGAGGGCCCGTTCATAAATATATTTACTTTTTTTAATTTGCGGCAAACATACGGGACGAGCGT